TTTCCATCGTTGCACCACTGACCACCTGTCTTGTTCTCTTATGGGCTGCCTTTTCATCGTTAACTTCGGGTTCAAGTTGTGATTTTAGTGAATTGCCTTCACCAGCGACATCCCGTTTCGTCCACCACGACGCCACTGGTATCATGCCACCGATCACCCTTCACACACTGGTCGACCAAGAGCAGACATTCTATGGATAACTCACTTTTTCCTTCACCTGTTCGCCTATGGAACGCCCAAATGAATCTCAAACGGGTCATCAGACATTGTATCGCTTCTTATCAGTTCTGTCGCTCAATAGTGTTTTTTGAGATGCGATTCAGGATTATGCGTGTGGTAGTAGCCTCTTTCCCTAGTCTCGAACGACGACACGGCATTTGTTTTCACAGTACTACTATTGTAATTATTAGCTGTATATTATTGCTGAAGAACATAATGATAACTATTATGATATCTGATGGTTTTATTTGTGATCACTTCCAGCCATTTTTCATAATAAAGTGATTTTGCGAGAATGTTTCACTAACGAGAGTCGGTCGAGCAAGGTTATCTACAGTAAAATATATCCAAAACCGAAACGGAGGTTTTTTTAAGGAAAACTACTGTAATAATGAAAGGAAGGAGACAAAAAGAAGCTGTGGACAAGCTGACGACCAAGTCTAAAGGGAAGGTCCAATGAAAGCAGTTTTCTTATTTAAGACGAGGCCGCTGCAAAGTTTTCATGAGCTCATTTCTGCAGTGTGAGACTCGGCGTTTATGGATGGAAACCAGGGTCAACTGTACATTGACTCCTGTACATTGACTCAAAGGCAAGCCCCGGATAAAATTGTGTTTACCAGAGTCATTTCACGTTCGGGGATAGAAAGCCGTGATTCAAAACGGGAAAGGAAAAGAGACCCTGAAATTAGCGACGACAGACCTTCTTTTCAGGAGCAGCATGTTAGAAGGAAGCAGCGGCTTTGGACGAGGATCTTTTTTCAACATAGACCCATCGAATGCAATGCATGAATCTTTCGATCTCATTTGGAGCGTTCATAGTTGGTAATCGTATGTGCTAGGCATCAGGCGCTTAGGCGAGTGGACTAGTAGTCGACTAGGCGAGTAGCAGGTAGGCGATAAGGGAGGCATACGTATTGATTTGTTGCTCCGCAAATTGAGTGGTAGCCTACTCGCCCAATCGTAACGTACGATCGCCAACTCTGAACGCTTCAATACTTATCTTGTGCTTCAACCGCTACGCCATAAGCAACGTTACAACGGCCATCATTTTTAATCTTTAAAAACGGCGACGGTTGGCGACGGTAGATCCATAAATTTTTGTAGCGCCGAAATGCGCCAAGTTTTGCGAACGAAACTGTACAACTTCAGATGACTTTCAGCATTTCTCTCGTGGCATGGTTCCTATAGTAGGAGATCTGAGCTCGACTGTGTAGTGACCGTGCATGCACGATGCTTCGGTCTGTTAGATGACGCTCGCGAGACACGTCAGGATTGTACTTACGGCTAGAAATTCCCGCAGGCAATTAATTTTCTTCCGTCCAGGCCGCCCACTCCGGTTGCCTTCCGCGCACCCTTCTTCCTCTACTGTTCAGTCGAGCACCTATAGGTATTTGACGTTCCTGAGTCAATCGGCCCAAGCAAGAGCTCGTCCCTGCGTTTTGGTCTGGACTTACATAGTTCTGAGTGACTATGGAAGGAGTCAGACTTCGCTGCTCATCGTATGCGAATTTCGCGCGATTCCAGTACGCTGGAGCTAGCTGAACGCTGACGTGATCTTTTCATGCTATACGAAGTGTTTAGATATTTCAGTGCATTATCCAATGATGGATCAGCACTCCCTGATAAGTGCATTTATAACTTCCCGTCACGCGAGTAGGGTTCATTCTCAATACTAACGTGTCATGCCACAGGGTGGGTAACTCACGTTCTGCTTTCGAAGCCGTCACATCTGTGAGGACCAATAGCTGTCTGCATTCTTCCAGAAGGTGCCGAAGATGGCGAAACGGATATACCTCAGCCACCGAAGAAAACTGATGGTAAGTTAATACCGGAAAAGCATACCCAGGGGGCTCGGTATTTCAAGTGTCACAAGGCTAAAGACACGATCTGAATGTTGGGAGGAATGACCGAGACAACCTCCGCAGTTGCCGTGGTGTTTTCATAGGTGTCTCCTTCAAAACAGTGATCTTCAAGGCAACGTTCATGGTTGTAGTTTGCATTTCGATGAGGCGATTAGGCCGGAAGGGACAGGATATCAATAGGACGAACGGGCGAATTGTTGAGTAGGCGACTAGGAGAGTAAACGAGTCAGGCCCTCAGTTGGGGGTGGGAACATTCAAGTGAGTGAGCCACTTACAGTACTTGGGACTAAGCCATAGAAAGGAGAACATATTTTGGGAGAGGCCTACAATGGTCTCTCAATGCCCCGTTTTCAATGTCCCTGTCCCCCCCCCCTCCAAAGCCGTGAGCCAGATCTGGTTGGGCCGCGTTCATAGTTCGCTAATAGGGACATTAGGACAGTAGGCGATAGGATATTAGGATATCAGTTTGGCGCCGCACGCTACCGCGCGCATGAAACGGAAGGTCCGGATGAGACAGGACAGCCGATAAAGCGTTAGATTCACCGCTAAACATTGAGTTGCTTCGTAAAATGCGTTAGCTGACCGCTCCATAGGCTGCCCATCTTTGCAGAAGCTCACCGTTTGATACGCGCAGTGGAGTGCGGTGTCTGTAAACAACCACCATGCATCGAATGTCAGTGTAATTTAGCGGTCGGATTGTGTGTGATGTTAAAATAAAAACATCCAGCACTCGTTATCGTATTTTTGAACTCCACCATACATTTTTAGGAACTCTGGGGGCATAGCGGTTTAGTGGTATTTCGGGCTGATGATAACAACGCAAATGAAAGAATATTGAAATGAAATGCTTTATCTAAAGTCTGGTTTTGAGTGACCTCTATATTCTTGCGCATATCGTTATTTATCGGCCCTTATCAGCCGTTATCGCTTTCTTTCCCCACCATATATGTTCCCGTCCCACCCTCTACATCACTTCTTGGAACCAACGCCTCACTGATGCTGGGACGCGCGCTATGGATATCGTGGAATTGGCGTTTTGGCGCCTCTTATCGGATCTTATCAGTCGTTATCACTTTGGTCCCCACCAAATATGTTCCCGTCCCACCCCCTACAACATACTTAAAGGCACGCCTCAGGCGTCAG